TTTCCCTGTCAGGGTTGTTGGATATTGTTGTGGACCCAAATGCAGAGTGAAGAGGGAGAAAATTATTTGTAGATTTAATGAAGATACTGATAGTAGATGAGTAAATAATCCAGAAATAAATAGAAACAACAGGCAAGGAATGAAAAAAACTAGGAGACTGTAAGAAAAACTAACATAAGGAATAAAGTAATAAAGAGAATTCAGCAATGAGGAACTGCACATGAGGTGTATATTTGGAGATAGAACAAAAAAATGGGCTCATCAGCTGATAGGGAGCAGGTGCCGACAGTGAGCCAAGGCCGTAGATCACTTTAGTGAAATTTATTGAGCTTCTTCAGGTGAACAAAGATGGGAGGTGCAGAATATATACAAATTAAGTCCAGAGCAGGTTAAAATCAGAGACACAGCAGAGTCCATCACCTTCAGTGTGACTTCTCAGGAGTCCAGCACAGAAGGACTCCCTGTGGAGCAGCCCTGCTTTTAAAGCTGCAGGCTCCGTCCACAGACACTCTAAGAAATGACTTCTAACTCAGATAAACTCTGAAATTTTACAAAATAATAATAATAAGTAATAACATTAACATTAACGAGAGAAATTAAATTAAACTTGTAATCAGAATACAATACTCAATTGAATAGAAAACACTCAAACAGTCATCATGTGACTCCCTCCTGGCGAGCCACAATCTGGAAACAACCCTCCTTGAAAATAGAACCGGGAAAATATTCAAAGCTGAAAATAACAGGTTAAGATGAATGTTAACTGAAACAGTAACACAGCGTGTGCACCCATGATCAACCGCGCCAGCCCGAGCTGCAACAAAAAGTTTGCTACGATTATGTATGTGTTTGTGTATGCATGTGCTCATGCTGACATGGACTTATAACTAAGTCCCGGCTGATGAGAGCTCCTCTGTCACAGTCATTCTAGATGTTTTCTGGTTATATTTAAGCAGTGTTGTTTTTTTGAGTTAATCTCTTTTGCTCCCTTAGGCAAGTCTCCTCTCCCCTGGCATTTATATTTGACCAAATCATTATAGAACCCCCTCACAATGACACAGAATGGAAAAGAAACCCTTAACTAAGATGGATGCAGAAGGACATAAATCAAATCATAAATATAACATTTAAAAAAGAAACTTAAACAGAACCAAAAATGTCCAGAAAGGGCAGAATCACGACAGACCCTCATAAAGTTATATCCTTCCTCAGGACCATCTGTCCAGAAGAGGGTTTCATTTTTGTCACTGATAGGTAAATTAAATCTCATACCTACCAACTCACAATACAGTACACAAAATCTTCTCAGAAATTCCCTTGTCTTGTGTTAGGACTCTACGAAACTAAAGAATTACTCATCGTATTTTCCATTGTGACTTGACTGCAGTCACATTAGTTTATGTTATTTACCCTCAACTGACAAACAAGAAACCTTTTAGTCAGTGTTCATTGATAAATCTAGTTGAAAGATGTCCTACTTTTCTTCCTAGAATACTTTAAAATATACAATCTAAACGGTTTACTGGATTCAACACAGCTAACATTCAGATTGTCTAGGCTTTTTTTTTTTTNAAAAAAGAAACTTAAACAGAACCAAAAATGTCCAGAAAGGGCAGAATCACGACAGACCCTCAAAAAGAGTTATCCTTCCTCAGGACCATCTGTCCAGAAGAGGGTTTCATTTTTGTCACTGATAGGTAAATTAAATCTCATACCTACCAACTCACAATACAGTACACAAAATCTTCTCAGAAATTCCCTTGTCTTGTGTTAGGACTCTACGAAACTAAAGAATTACTCATCGTATTTTCCATTGTGACTTGACTGCAGTCACATTAGTTTATGTTATTTACCCTCAACTGACAAACAAGAAACCTTTTAGTCAGTGTTCATTGATAAATCTAGTTGAAAGATGTCCTACTTTTCTTCCTAGAATACTTGAAAATGTACAATCTAAACGGTTTACTGGATTCAACACAGCTAACATTCAGATTGTCTAGGCTTTTTTTTTTTTTTACATGTCTGTATCTATTGCTGTCATGATTCTGCCCTTTTTGGACATTTTGGTTTTATTTTATTTTAGTCTTTGTTTTCATTTCCATTTTCTATCATTCTAGTTGTTTTCTGGTTGTATTTGAGTTCTTATGTATTTCTTGTTTACTCTCTTTCCCCCCCTTGTGCCAGTCTCATTTCCCCTAGCTCACCTTCTAGTCCTGTCCACACCTGCTCCCAATCAATTGATTACTGCATTCATCGTTGCCTTCCTCATACATTCTTCTGTTCTGACTGTTGGAGGAGTCGCATTTTCCCTGCTGCTCCTGCACCTCCCTGCATGTCCCTGCTTTGCCGTGTCTTGTCCTTTCCTGAGCTCTCTCTTCATACCACCCAAACTAAAAAAAATGGATCTGGTCAGCTGGTCTCTAAATGCAATTGATCAAATTTATTGAACTGGAAGACAGGGAAAGGGGGATCCGTCCTTTCCTGCCGGGACATACTTCATGGAATACACCATGGACTCCTGGAAAGCGTGGAGGATGGGGTGTTTCACAACGTTGTCATTGGAGGATATCGAAGATGTGTGGATTTTTAGTTTTATGTTACTTGGATTTCTCCTGTTTGGATTTGGAGGATACCTGATGTATCTTCAATTACAGATGATGTTTGCGGTGGATTGGGCATTGATCAGGCTGCCGGCAGTGGTTGACGCCCTCACAAAGGCTGTGAACAAGCAAAATCAGGAGCTGACCCGTATGCTGGGTGCGATTGAACGCACGCTGGCAGCGGTGGTTGAACTCAAAGGTGTGATGGGATAACATCTTGGATGGGCATGCTCGCTTCAAGGCGGAAAAGCCCAACACAATTGGAAGATTGGATTTCCCCAGGAAAAGCCAGCAAGACAAAGACTCAAGGCTGAAGGAAATTCCCGTGCAGCCTGCTCTCAAAACAATAAGTGTTAGTCTGGATTCGACCTACCCCCTCTAGCTAATCTCCCCTGGATGTTATGGCGAAAGGGCACAGAGGAACTGCTTACCATCTTCCCTACCCGCAAAAACATCTGTGGATGCGCCCAGTGACTGTTGATAAACTTCACATTGCCTGTGGTCAGCGTTTACTGACAAATTGAACGCAATCATCAGACACGCACAATAATATGTCTCAATGTCAGATTGAATTCATGTGATTTCGCCTCAGATGTGACCCTCTGCTGAAATGTCTGTCTTGTGGTACATGTGCTTTCTTGAGCAGAGGTTTTTTTGATATCTCAAACTGTATCCTGTCAAGGATAAAGTGTGAAATGTGCTTTTTTTCCCTCTCTTCCCCATTGTGGCTCCTATCTTTTCCACAGAGATGAAAGGCAGCGCTATTAGGGAACCACCTGGGACCTCAGGAGCCAGGTAACTGGTGGGAACCTGGCAAGCCGTAAGAATGCACCGTTCTGCCAAATGGCAGCATTCTGTGGCGCGCATGGCCTAAGTCAATCCATTCCCCCTCTCAGCCCCCCACCTGAATGTATGTGACATATTGTGATGAACGGTTGTACTGAAACTGAAATTTCGAATGCAATGTAAATTGTAGTTGACAATGAAGAAAATCGATTGATCGATCGATTGATTGATAGCAAAGTTTCATTAGAAAATACATATATTATGGTCTAATTGTACCATCATCTGAAGGGGTGAACGATTTTACAAAAAAAAATTGTCTGACTATATTTTCTACAATATTTGCCCACTGTAAACACCAGAATTTCCTCTTTGTGGGAAAATTCGATTGCGATTTTTTTGTGATAATCCTTTGCTCTAGGCACAAGCATGTCCATGTTTAAGTCCAAGGTTTCCATTTTTTAATGACCATGAAAGCCTGCTTGTCTAGAGTCCAGTGTTGCAGGTAGTGACTGTGAGATGAAGCTTCATGAGGCATTAGGGATGGGAATCGAAAACCTGTTCCTGTTCAGAGCTGGTTCCATGTGTTCCAACTCCATGGCATGGTTTGGCAGATTGCTTAACGATTCCCTTAATGATTCCAGGCAGCACCAGAGCCTATCTCTGGGCAGCATGACTTAGTCACGTTTACGCAAGTTAGCACACGGCATTCAGTAAGCAGATACATCTTTACCAGGCGTAAGTCTATAAAAGCAAAACTTTAGCTTCATTTTAAGGAAGAGAAAGATGGCAAGAAGGCGCTTTGCAATCATTGCAAAGTGGCGAATACATCCGCCAGAGGAAGTACATCCAACATGCAGAAATACTTGCGCACACAGCATGGCATACATTTTAACGAAAGCCATGTTTCTGATGCTTCCTGACAGAAGCTAAAGTTACGATCAGCATGGAAGGCAACTCTAGTTGTAAGTAGCTAATTTTATATCACTGGCTGTGTTTAAGGTGGTTCCTGGTAAATCATATGCCATTTCCGGAAATAAACCTACCCACCTCTCTTTAGTAGTTAGGTTTCTTTCTCGTTAATCCACCCCTTCGTTGCTAGCATGTTTATTTAGAACTACTGGTAGCTGGAATTCTTACATGATTCTAGCTATTGCAATGGATGTAACGAAACATCCTACGAAGTTGCTCCACAATTTAGGGAGAGAGAGAAAGGTGACGCTCGTTTATTTAAATCAGGGGGGGATGTATTTATTTCCCAAAATTGTACAGTAATGCTTTTTCATTAAACAGATGGCTTCTCCATTTGATTTAGATGACTGTGATGCGACGGGCAGCCTGGCTGGCTCAGAGGCTGGCAGCTTCCGTTCACTGCCTTCTGTTTTCGCTGAGGCAGGCAGAAATAGAATGTCCCAGGTGATGGTAGACGAATGTCACTGTGCACTTACCAAGTTCATTGTTTCACAGAATTGATAAGGGAATTGTGAAATCAATTCCCAACCATATGAGGCATTGAACTGTTTGGCCAAATTGCTTCATGAAGCTTCATGCGAACATATCACCACCTACTGGTGGAGTGCATAACTACAGTTATAATATAATCTGTGCTTTTTTTGCAATTGTTTTTCTTGCTTTTTTTCCCATTTGAAATTGCTAATGATTGGTGTATATAATAAAATATTTTGTAAGTTTCTTTGGGTTTAAAATGTCTTAAAAGAGAACAATCATTTAAGGTACACAATTCTTTTGCCATTTTAGTGAAATAAGCTCAAGCAGACACTGAAAGTGTTTGTGCAAATTGGGCAATGATGAAAGGTTTTAGTCATTTTTATTCAAACATTATAGTTTTTACGAGTTTTTGGTTTTAATCTGCTTGGAAGTTATTTGTTCTTTTTGCTAAACCAACCAATCGAATTTGGTAATTTTTTTACCCAATCTATATTTGTACAAGGGCAAACCAAGCCAAAGTACTTGTGCAAGTATTATCACAACTTTCAAAAGTCTATGGTGAACCTAAGGATTTGAAGTAAATTTCTTACAGCTGATGCCTTTGTAATGGTAACTATTCACTAGAAAGCAATACAACCTAACACTAATGTTACAACTGTAACCAGTGGCTTGCTCAGATTTTGATAATTGAATTGTTTAAATCTAACCAAATAGTTTTAACAAACTAGATTGCTTGTTTTTCCAACCCATCTATTTTTAGAATCTATCCAAACTGTATCCAACTGACAGCAACTCTCCTGCAATCTCCCACATCTTGACTGAGTAGTGAGGCTGTTTAAATACCTGTCAAAGTTCTCGTGCGGTCTG